AGTTGGAGGGAAGATGTGCTCAGAACTGATGTGGAGAGAGGGAGTGCACCTTTAGGTCTACAGGGTTTCCCCAATCTTCCTGATATGCTTCAGCCCTCCCCAGGATCCCTGCATCAGAATAAGATGTCAGAGGCCCATATCCCATTACCACTCCTCTGAAGTAGCTAATCCCCCACTCGCAGTGCATGCCAACCACATCGTCAAGGAATGATTTTCCTCAGTCCTCTGGGAGGTACAGCTGCTCGGCTGATTTTGTTCTCCTGAAACCAGAATCTAATACTCCCAATTGTCTGGGAATCTCATGTGAACAGACACAGAGAGGGGGATGGGGATTTTGATTTGGGTCTTCATTGAGCAGATGGGTCTCCAGAGTACCATGTGCCTGCTCCCCAGAGATCAGTCCACGGGCGCCAGCTCCAATTTTTATTTAGCAGAGGAGGCAGACCAGGACAGAACAGGAGAAACCAGGAGATTGCCCAGGAAGATTCTGGCCTAGCTTAGGAGTAGGTTGTTCAAGGCGGGAAACTGACTAAACATTTCTCAAATGCCACATAATCCCAAACCCTCTGTACATTCCTTCCAGGCCCTGTAAGTGGAGCAATCACAATTTTTATCAATCACACTGGAACTCTTTTAAGAGAGCAAAAGGAAACACTTCATAATTACACTGGGACGACAATCAAAGACCAGGCTTGTCTCAGGCAAACCAGGACATACGGTCACCCTACCTGGAAGTGTCCAAAGATTTAACCCTGCCAAAGACCACTTGGACAAGTTACTCAGCTTTTCTAAGCCTTAAGTTCCCCATCTGTAAAATGGGACTACTAAAAGTGTTTGTTGAGAAAGCACTCAGTAAATACTGTTTGTGGTGGTGGTTACAGCATTTTTTTTTTTTTTTAATTTATTTGACAGCCTCACAGCGAGAGAGGGAACACAAGCAGGGGGAGTGGGAGAGGGAGAAGCAGGCTTCCCGCGGAGCAGGGAGCCCGATGCGGGGCTCCATCCCAGGACCCTGGGATCATGACCTGAGCCAAAGGCAGTTGCTTAACGACTGAGCCACCCAGGCGCCCCGGTGGTTACAGCTTTTTATTAAACTTTGTTGCCCCTCAAAGTGCAGGGAATCAGAAGGGTTGGTATCTTAGCAGCGATCAAGGAATTGAAGGTTATTCTTTCTCTCGTTATTTTCTCAGTTTATAATACTTTTTTGACTGTACTAATGCATGTACTTAATTCCAATCTGCCTTTGCAGACCATTATTTCAAAGGGACAAAAGCCTTTGTAATTTAGAAATGATTCTTGTTCAGGGCTGCCTTTAATGAAACAGTGGGTTGAAAGAAAGCCTGTTGCTTCACCTTCCGTTTTGCTCTGGGGAATAACTGACTATGAGATGAGAGTCTCATTTGCATCCAATTAGACGTTCCTACTACTCATCCCACAATGTCAGCTCTCATTATGAAGCGGGGCTGATTCTTTTCAAATCCAGCTTTGAGTTAATTTTTGAAACCAAAAATGGTTTCACCTTGTTTCTAGCTAAAATGTTGAGTCTAATTGGATGCTGGCACAGTCATCTTTCTTGCTGAAGTGATTTGGTCGTTGCAGGTAAAGTCTCCTGGCCGCTGCTTCTCAAGCAGAATTTGCATCTACCAGACGTGGGCCCGAGCAGCGATGGCACGGTGGTCGGGCCTGCTCTGTGGGGTCCGTGCTGGAGAAGGGAGGAGCCCATGGGGGTGCGGTCTTCTGCCTCCAAAAGATGAGTGAGGCACACTCGAGACAACCCTGGCTAAGGCTGGCTCTCTGTGTGGCCCATGTTGACTGGATGATTAATCTCTCTTCAGTGAACAGGAGGTAAGCCCCGGGTGAGGGCACAGCAGAGTGTCCTGCTGGCCCGTGGTCAACAGGAACGGTGAGACAGTGTGTACTTCAGGGAGCAAAAGCCTGGTTCAAATCCCGTGTGTGTACCGCCTGGTAGCTTTGTGAACATGGGCAGTGTATCCACCTCACTGGACCTCAGTTTTCTTATCCATAAAGTGGAGCTAATGATAGAATCCCCTGCTGTGCTTGTGAGTAGGATTCAGTGGGGTAAGATGGGTAAGGTCCTCAGCACAGTGTCTGGCTCATAGGCCACACTGGCCACTGGTTTACTACTGTCACTGTTCTCACAGGGCCTCAGGGATCTTGAGAGCCCTGGGTGGCCGTGCACCCGCTCCTTGCTGCCCTCTGGTGGCACATATCAGAGCGGTCCGGTGAAGAGGAAGCTGGGAGAGGTTACCGTACAATTAAGAAAATGTGGGTTTTATTGCTTTCTTGGTGACCTTTGAGAATATCTACCCAACTTTTCAAAAAGAGGAGGACAGGAAAATACCCTAAGGTTCCTAAGAGCAGGATGATGTCTTCCAATGTATAGGAGGTTGCTCAGGAAAGCTGTGGCCGGCTTCCTTGCCCATGAGGTTGGGGAGGCTGGCCCCAGCCACGGCTCACTGGCAGGCCAGATGGCCCGGCAAAGACAAGGGAGAGGAAGAGACATGCATGAAAGGGTGGGTAGAGCTTGGAGCTGTGGCTGGTTTCCCCGGACGTTCAGCTGGGGCGTGGCTGGTGTTCCTGATGCCCCTCTGAGTTCCCTACGCCTTCCCGACTTTTCCAGCTGTGGTGCTCCCTGTGTTTGCTGGCTTGTCTCATCACCAGTGGACACAGGAACAACAGGCTACGTCAGAGCCAGGATGGAATCAGCACTTCCTATTGTTGCCTGAGAACAACTTGCAGTTTGCCATGAGCCCTCTCCAGGTTGATAGAGGTGTTGGTCAGGGGTTGCTTCCTCCAAGGCTGGGTGAGGTACCCCTTTGGAGTGGCCTCAGAGCCTGCTGTGCAGCCCTCTAGCATGGTGTGCTTAGATCAGTGGGCAATTTCAGCTGAGTCTGTGACTCCCTTGTAGACTGGGAGTTTCTGGAGAGGTCACTCCCAGCAACCAGCACAGTGTGCTCTGCATAGCAAATGCTTCATCATGAGACAGCGGCTGGGTGGATGAGTGGTGGACTCTGCCCTTGAGGACGGGACAGCATGTGACCACGCCTGTGTTCCCCCATGGTACCTGGTGCAGGTCTTTGCACGTAGTGGTGGCTCAGTAAGTGGGTACAGAGAGTGTGTTCTCAGGGCGCTCCTTGAGACTAAGATCAATTCACAGCGTTTGAGTACCTCACAAGTGCTGTCATAGGTTCTGAGAGGTTTTTACAAACAAGTGTAAGACATCGTCCCTGGCTTTTAGGAGCACATCTTGTTAGATGTTCAAGTTAAAATAAAACTATTAAATTGTAGTACAAGTCATATAATAACTCAGGGCCAAGATGAGCCGTCCAGATGGGTGTTAGGGTTGCTACCCCAGGTAGAGGGCTGGCTCCATGGGGCTTGCAGCAAGTAAGTTGCACGGACCCCTGTACTAAGGTTTGATGCTCTGCTCTGGCCATCTTGACATTCTTAGTTTTTGAATAGAGGGCCCTGCATCTTTATTTTGCCCCAGGCCTTGTAGTTATGTCGCTGGTCCTGACCCAGGATCCAAGCTGACCAGGAAAAGCTCTGTGATAGAGGGTTTGGCTGGGCAGAGAAGATGAGCAGCAGAGCTGGGCCAGAGCTCCCTGAGGATGTGGCCATCCTGACATCAAGCCTGGTGCAGTGCTGCAGCCTGCTCAGGACAGGCCTTTGGGAAGAGTGGGGCAGGGAAGGGATCGGGGGCATGGCAGGGCAAGTGCCCAGCTCAGTGCCTGACACTGTAAGGGGACATTGCTCCTGTTGCTAAGAATCCATTCTGTGCCTTGGGAGGTCAGAGAACCAAGGGGACACCTGGGCCAGCAGGGCTGGAGAAGAGGTGCTGGTGCTGCAACCACAGATGGGATAGAGAGAGCAAGGGGAAGGTGAAGCCTGAAACTCGGGGAGCAGCACAGTGAACCCTGTACCTCTTGGCCCCATCCTGTCATGCCTTTATGTTGTCAGGCTGGAGGTGGGGGTTCCTTCGGCTGACTTCCTTACAGTGGCCCTCCCTCGTGAGCCCCCATGGTGTGCTGCTCTGGGGCCAAGCAGGGTTCAGGGCTCCCAGGGAGAGAGTCCTGGCCTCTGCTCTCCCCTGCCCTGGTATGCGCCCTCCCCCTGGGGCCCTCCTGCTCTGTTCTGTCTGTTGGTGTCTGGGCTTCCCTATCCAGTCTTCCTTCTTTCTCCATAATGAAGGGAAAGGTTGAACCAAGTCCCGCATTCACGTAGCCCTGGCCCACTCTCTCCTGCTCTCCTCAGCAGAAAGACTGTCAGGCTCAGCTATTGGAACAGGGTGATGAGTGACCTTGGGCAACTTTCTTAACCTCTCTGGTCCTCAGTTTCCTTAGGAATACATGTGGCACTGCCAGGAGGTGAGGCCATGATGGAAAGGGTCTACCATAGCATTCTGCTGAGGACATGCTAAGGCAGGGTATTTGCTGTGTGTCCCTGTAAGTGTTGGCAGAGGCAGCTGTGCACGTCAGGAAACCATCCTCAGAAGTGACATGCACATGGGTGTCTGGCTTCTGGTTCCTAGGGTAGTGCACAAAAAGTGCAGACAGGTGGAGGCTGCCCCTTTAGGCAGTCCTGTGGCATGTGGGGGACACAGGTGGGCACAGAGAGGCCTATTTTAGGGCCTGGCTGATTTGGATACAGAGGGATGTGGGGCTGTGGGTGGTTTGTGCAAAGTACAGAGTGGCCTGCTCTTGTGACTATCAAGGGTGCGACATTTACCAAGTGTTCATCGTGCCCTGGTGTCCTGAGTGCTTTATGTGAATTCTCTCCTGCTTTAGCACCATAATGGCGTTCCACAAAGGTGACAGTATTTACAGGTATTTGGGAAATGCCAGTTTTCCTTCCTTCCCAATGCATTTGTCCCTGTTTATTCACAATGTGGTAAACATTTGATTGTCATCCTGGCCTCACTGAATAGAAAAAAAGTCAGTAGTCTAGAATGTTGGTACATTTCAAATATATTTTATTACTTTTCTTTTTGTCTTAGAATATGAAACCTGCATGCAACGCTAATGGTTTCTGACACGTGCATAGCATATGACACAGCAGTACAATGAGGCATATACTGAAGGGGCAGTGTGTGGAGGGGGCGTTCTTAAGAGTATATTTACAAAGAAAAGGGCATGTGGTTGTTTCGGCTTTCAAAAGAGGACTGCACTGTTTAACATTGAAGAATTACACGGGGAATCACAGATAGAATGCTTCTGTCCTGCCTGTTCAGTTGCAACGAGGGAAAGAAACATGCTCTGAAGGTTTTCCATCATTGCTAGAACGTGTGTCTGTAGCTGGGCATTGTGCGTGTCCGGGTAGATTTTTAAGTTTTCTTGTCAGGTTTTGCTAACAGTGTTGGGAACTTCACGTGCTTCCAGAGTATTCAGTACTGAAGCAGTGAACCTTTCACAAGAAGGAGAGAAGACCCAACCCCTTCCTTAAGGACCCTATGCTTTGCCATCCCAGAATCTTGGAAATGTTTCCTAGAGTATGTAAAAATAAAGTGGGGGTGGGGTGGGGTGGGGGATGAAGCACATTTCTCTGGCAGCCAAACTTAAGTTCCTTAAAGAACAGATGCAGAGAGATCGGCTTCTTCTTGCCTGGTGACAGGGGCCACCGTGGAGTCCCCCTGAGGCTGTGACCAACCATGAGCCCAGGAGAGCCCATGGCAGCTGTGTGGAGGCACCAGGACCTCTGAGCGGAAGCTTCCTGCATTAGCAACGGAGCAATGCTGCTATGAAATGTTTAAACCAAGCTCTGGGTTCCTCCCAGGCGCTTATAAAGCTCAGATGTAGTGATGTCTGGACAAATACAAAAAAGCATTTTTTTTTTTTTTTTTTTTTTTTACAAAGGAAAGGCATAAGTTTCCCCCTTTTCGGTAAAAAGCAGTGTGTGATAAAGTCGAGCACGAGAGAAGGGTCTCACATCTGGAAGCCTTCCGCACACAGCTATAAAATGTAAAAACTGACCCTTGGTAAAAAGTGCTTTGTAACAATATATAATTTGTGTCTTATGCCTGTGAGAAAGAAAAGGTTTGTTTTTTTGTTTTTTATCTGCAGAGTCCTTTGCTCCTCTCCCAGCTGGTATGAAGTTTTTCCATGTGGGATTTTTCACCCTACTCTTCGTAGACCCTAGGAAGAGAAAACACCCATGTCAGTGGCTCAGGATATGACACAGGCGATCCACAGGCTGGTGGCTAAGCTGCTTCATCCTTGTCTTTAGGAGCGCCCCTCCCAGGAATTCTGGAGCTTGGGAGAAGTGGGGGTGGGAGTGGGGAACCCTTAAGAAGTCATCACATGGACTACAAAAGCTTATCCAAATCTGGCTTTGTGCATTCTCAACAGCCTCCACCTCTGCAATCCTCAAAGCCCTATGGAGCAAACCGTCTCTATATGTGAGGAAACTGAGGCCCAGGGGACTTCAGATTTGCCCTATGAACACTGAATGTCAGTGGTGGGAACGAGGTCTGTTTGCAGCATGAGCAGGGATGCAACATGGGAGGACAGGCAGCCCCTCTTTCAATTTAGGATTGCATCTTTCTTTGTATTTTGCCCAGAGAATGCATGTCCTCCAGAAAAATGCTAGTTCTAGAAGCTGCTGCCTGAAGACTGAAGGGTGGTAGTAGGGCTGGGGCTAGGGCTGTCGGGGAGGCCTGTGGCTCAAGATCACTTCCTCTAGTGGTTGTGGGCCTGTGTGCATTCCCAAGCTGGCCTTTTCCCCTCACCTTCCAGACTGTCTCTCTTTAGGTACTTAAATCCCTTCTCTTCTGCCCCATGGCTGTTCCAGGGCCATGCCTCATACTTAGATTCTTCTGCCTTCTTCCTGATTCCTGAGTAGGACCACCCTAATTGTGCTCTGCCTGATGCGCTGCTTCCCTTGGCAGCCGGAAGCTGGGGGCTCTGAGATAGAGATCTGCTAGTCTGGCTCCATGGGCCTGGGCTGCCGGGCTGGCTTCTCCTTCCTCTACCCTACGTTTAGCATTCTCTCACTGTCTCTGCAAAGAGGACTTCAAGATAGTTCCTTTCTCTCCATTGTACATTCATGGAGACATTTTCAGCCTTTTAGAGAGGGAGGGTAAGGAATTGCCCCCTTCCTCTCCCAGGATGCCTCAGCTTCCCCAGAAAGAGGACGAGCTCTTTTGTAATAAAGTGATGGGAGGCCTGGTAACGGAGATGCTCTCATCGTTGGAATTTGCCGAGACAAAAGAGCAGGGCTGCATTGTCCCATGCCTGCCTCCTCTTCGTCAGAGCTAGGGCCCAGGTGGAGGGCTGAGGGACAAAGTGTGCAAACCGCCTCAGTGTCTGCCAGCAGTCTGGTGGAGATGTTCTCAGCCCCCTCCATGGACTGGCCCCGAGGTTAGCCTCGTTCCACTTTGGTGACGCAGGGCCTGGAGAGTGACAGTGGACAGGGGCAGGTCCTGCTTTTGCCATGTGAGCCACCTGCTTCATTCCCATCAGATTTATAGAAAATAATCTCTCGCTCTCATCAGTTTCTATTTCAAGCAGCTGCAGACGAGGCAGTTTTGGAGGCAGCACAGAAGGCTCAGGTATTGGGGTTGGGCCCAAGTGTCAGCCGGTGGAGAGCTGGTCATGGGCTGAGCTTACAGTGGAAGGGCTGGGTGGGACAATGGGAGGGGTGGCTCAGGCACCCACTCTAGGCAGGGTGAAGGTGACCCTGGGAGGCCTGGCTTCCTGCCCTGTGCTCCCAGGGAAGTTACTCCCCACCTCCACTTGGCCTCGGTTTCCCGCTCTGCAGGATGAGGTGCTGGCACCAGCTCCTGAGGAAGTCCCTTCTGTGTGTGTGCGTGCAAGCACTTCTCGGAACATGCTGGGTAGGTGCAGGTGTAGACAGGCCCTGAGTGTGTGAGGAGTAGGTGTGCTCTGGGACAGGCTCTCTTGTATGTGGTATGAGGAAACCAGGAACTTGCCAAACATAGGACCCCAGATTAGAGATGGAAAGTCATTTTCTGATTATGGAGAAACAGAGCCCAGAGTGGACAGGGGTCTGGTTCATGGTTATGGCCATCTGGCTAGTGCTACCCTCTGAGATTAGGAGTATGGGAGGGGGCGTGCAGCACCTTGAGGGGAGGGGATGTTGCTGGCGAGGCCCTGCCCTCATCATCTTGTGTTGTACCCCGTGTTACAGTTAATAAACCCCAGTTACTTGAATGGTCATGTTTTACCACACAAGAATCACAGAGAACCACGCCAGGTGCTTGCTCATTCACTTGACAGAGGGAAACTGAGGATCAGAGACCTTAAGTTACTTTAAAAAGAAGAGGAATTAAGACTATAACTTAAAAAGTTAGCATGGTGCAAACTTTAGTTCACAAAAGGTTACATTTTCGATGCTTACGGTTGTCCAGGAGAGGAATTGCCTGCTTTGGGAAGTGGTGAATTCCTTACCACGTGGGGTTCTATAAGCAGGGCTGGCTATCGGCTTGCTGTGGCTACTGTGGTGGGTGTTCCCCCATTAGATAGGGCTTGAGGAGCTAGCTGGAGTCTAGGATCTGGAGCTAGGGGGAAGGTGGGAAGGAAGGGGCGAGGAGGCGGGCCATACCTGCGCTTCTCGTTCCAGGCGTTGTACCACTTGATGAACCGCTTGGTGCTCTGCAGCTTGGGGTGCAGGCAGTGCTCCTGACCCCGGTACCTGGACACGCTCTTAGTGGTGATGCTGAAATGGAGCAGCATGGGGTGGAGGATTGAGGAGCCTGAATGAAGCCCCTTATTGTGGCCTGTGGGTGGCCCTGGTCTGACCCAGTCAGGACACTGAGAGACGGTGGCCTCCTCCTTCCTTTCATGGGAGCGTGCCCATGTGCTCACTGCCTGGCTGGCTCTTTGGGAGTTTCTGGGTGTCCCCTTAGGCTCTCACTTTTCCCCCGGAGCCCTGAGAGTCTGGGATAGTCCCCTTACCCCGTCCCTATCCCCATGAGGCTGTTGTTTACAGGGCTTATGCCTCCCTTAGAGAACAAAGCTCAGGGGACTCTTGCAGCTGCTCTGAACCTGGGATGGAGAGGTGGAGAGAGCTAATGCCAGCAAGGTGCACGTGCTAAGACCTCTTTCTTAGAAATGAGGAGCTCGCGGTGGGACTCAGACATGCTCTGTGCATGGGGTGGTCTCTCTCTGACCCTTCAAACCCCAGTTCCACTCGATCCTCTGAAGATTGTCCCCGGGCTAGGCATTACGGATCTTGAAGTTAAGTCTTGCTGGCCTTGAAGCCCATTTTGATTCCTGAGCATGAAGTCCCTGTTGTCTCAGCCTCTGGCAAGAAAGTAAGACCTCCCTTCAGGCCTCCATCAGCCGGTGTTCCAAGCCAGTGGAGGCCCTAGCCGTGTGGGAGGGAAGCAGGTGGAATTGTACAGAGTATGAATCCCAGGTCTGTCTGTGGACCTTGGGTAAACTCTGAATGAGTTTGCCCATCTGTAAAATGGGTCTAATTATAGGACATACCTCTTAGGATTATTGGGTGATGAGATGATATAATCTATGGAGAATGCCTAGCACTTGGTAGATGCACAGTGAAGAGTTACTGTCATTAGTATTTGTCATGGAAGATGGGATGGCCACGGGGAAGGAGAAGCCTTAGTGTGTGAGCTCCAGCCTGGATGGGGAGGCAGGACTACTGCCCAGTACCTCTATGCCCCTCTCAGCCAGGGCTGAGCTAGGGCGGCAGGATTTAGGAGGAAGCTTCTGGGTGGGGGAGGAAGGATGGTGTTCCAGAATGAGGGACCATGTAGGGGACCTGAAAAAGTAGAAGGGGAGAGGGGCCATTCCCTGAGAGGTCACAGCACGAGCAAGGGATGTTCCTGGACTGGGTGCTGGGGAATGAGCTGCGGGGCCAAAGAGGGGCAGTTGGGGGCTGGAATGGGAAGAGCAAAAAGGGAAGGAGAGAGGTCAGCTAGGGCCCCGCAGGTTCCCAAAGATAAAGTGTCAGGGCACATGCCAAGTTCTAGATGGGACCAGGGCCACCATGAACCGACTGTCCCAGTTGACAGGGAGAAAAGAATCGAATCTTGCCACCAGTATGGGGGCAGAATATTTCTGGGCAACTTGTTCTCTTCCCTTCTCTGTGCTCTGAGTTTCCAAGGCCCCCACCACAGCCTCAGCTTCCTCGAGCAGGTGTGGATCTTCTGCTGGTGCCTGTGGACTGGGCTCTGCCTTCGCTGGCCTTCCCTGAGACCAGTCATTCCCCTAGTCCTGTCCCTCCTTTGAGGTGGCCAGCACAGGGCCAGGCTTCAGGGGGAGTGTGCTCCTTCTCCTCCTTGCGGTACCTGGTTGCTCTGCGGGAATTTAGCCCACTGCTCTCTGTCTACAATACTGCTTTTGCCCTTGGAAAGAAAGGATGTGCCCAAACCTGATGAAAAGCCCTTCCTCAGTTAGGTCACTGTACCCAGGCTGAGGATGCCAGTCCTGAAGGGACGGGCAGCAGGGGAGGACACTCGACCCTCCCAGCACAGTCCTCAAATGCTTGTCACAATACTGGGCCTGTGAAAATTGGTTGCGGGGTGGAGACATGAGGATTTCTGTTCCCAGCAGTTACTCAGAAATTCCGGATCCTGCGTCCTCTCTCCTCAGTGGTTCTGGGTGCCGAGGGTTTTGGCAAGAGTTCAGTGGACATATGACACAAATTGCCCTTTATAAAATCTGGAGTCTCCTGGTGCAAGAACTCCCACTTGCAAAGCTGACTGCCCTCCCCACCCCACCCCCAGCCTCATCAGAGATTTCTGGGTGACTCAGGGTGAGCTGCAAAACTTGCTTTTGTTCCGCTTTTGTGCCTGAAAACCTGCTTTGGCAAAAAGTGCTGGCCCCTTGTCTGATCTAGAGACTCTTAGGAGCTTGAGACGGGAGAGGATGTTTAGCCCTTCAGGGATGGCGGGGGACCTGGGTGTGAGTGAAGGTTTTGGAGACGCTGACTGTGTTCGGACCTCCGGAGGCCACTGCAAGTTTTCACAAGGCTGCGTAAGGCCTTCCCGCATCTGCCCGCTGCTGTCAGTTTCTTCTCTATTCTGAAGTTTTGCCAGGAAAAGGAGTAAGCCTGTTTATTGAGGGTTCTGTCCTTTTGAGATGGCTCTGCACCCCACACCCTGCTTCTCCTTCCCTGAAAGGTCTTGACACCTTGCCTTGGGGCATGGGGTGGTTTTCAGCACTTAGAGGAGTGCAGACTTAATTTTCAGTGTCCCTGTCATCTCCAGCTCCCGAGCTGGGAACCATGGGGTGGGGGGCTTGTAGCTCCTCTCTCAGCTTGTGGGAATCCTGGCCCTCACCAAAAAGGATTTTCTGGCAGTTTTTCGGGACTTGGGTTTGCAAGGCAAAGGGGCAGGGACAAGAGCTTAATTTAAGTGCCTGGGCGGAAGGGCAGTGGGGTTCAGCTCAAGCCTGATGGCTTTGCAAATTCCCCTAACTTGAGCCTGACTGTGCAGCCAGGTGGCAATGGGGGGTGGGGGCTGCCTTTGCATACACTGTGTGGAGGCCTTTGGGCCAGCAGGTCCAGCAGACAGAAGGCACTTGCCCAGACTGAGAATAAAGTGTGTCCTGTTGCTGGGGGAGGGGAAGAGGGGCCAATGGTCCGTGGCAGATATTTGGTAGCTGCTTTGCCAAGGGCTTCCTTCCTGGCCAAGTGCGTATTGATGGGGAAACAGTGGTACTGGACTCAAGTGGTTAATTGGGAAGGCAGAGGAGCAAGGAAACTCAGTGTTCTCTCACTCTGCCCCAGTTTTTAAAATATTCCTCGCATCCCCACCAAGCAGGGCTCCAGCCGCATGGCACGTTAACCCCAGCAGAACACTTTGCACAGCACTGCTCAGGCTCAGGGACCCACAAGAGTCCAGCCGGTGGGGGAAGATCAAGGATCAGTCCCAAAATGAAATCGCTAGAAGCCAAAAACTGACCGTCTGTGGTCCCCTGATCGGAAAAAGGCTCTGAAAGGAGGGTCTGAGGACTTAAAGACATTTGTTTTTATTCTCTCTCCAGTAACAGGAAGGCAGCACGCCTCCCAGTTTGGGGGCAAGTACAATAGTTCTGGGTGTGTTTTGAGTGCTTTCAATCCGGATTTTCTAAAGTTGGCACAATGGGAGCCACTTAACCCTTGATCATCCCAGAAAGGTGGGCAGTGCAGGCACCTAGGCTGCCCATTTGAATCTTAGCAAGGGTGAACTCCCAGAGGGGCTGTTTCCAGAGCACCGGACAGTGACCCTCTTTCCAAACTCTCTTTCACACTGTCGCGCCAGCGTCCCAAGGACTCGCTGGGCAATTACAAAGGCTGGTCCAAGGCCTTGCCAGAGGCACAGAGGAATGTTTGTTAGCCCGCCCGATCCAGCCCCAAGCTGTGCCCCAGCACCGGGTTAAGAGCAGCGCGCACACGCTCACGGTGAGGAGCCAGAACTCACATAACCATCTTCTCCTCGCAGTGCGGGTACTTTGGCTTCATTTCCAGCTTCTTCACGTCGCTGTAGCGAATCTTGGGCCCCTTTCGCGAGCACTTGCATTTGGACCCTGCAAGGGAGAGCGCGGGGTGCCGTTCAGCCGCGTGCGGGGTCTCCTGCCCCCGACCTCCCTCGGTGCCCACCCAGAACCTCCAGGGTCCCAGGAAGCCCAGCAGTTGGCGCCTGGGTGCCCCAGGACGGGACGGGGCGGCGACGAGGGACCTCCCGGGCACTCACCGTCCACGCGTGCGGCGCACAGCGCCAGGAGCAGCAGGAGCAGCGCGGCCGACAGGAGCCTCATGCTGGCCGGAGGGGCGCGGGGCGCGGGAGCAGGGACTGGGGAGGGCGCCCGGCCGGCTCGGCTCTCTCTGCCCGGAGCGCGCCTCCCGGCTCCGCTCGCTCCCGCTGCGCCCGTCGGTGGGTGCCTCGGCTGCCGCGCTGCGCTTCTGCGCTCGGCTCCGCGCTCTCTCCGCAGCCTCCCTCCTCCCGCCCGGGCCTCTTTTTAAATCCGCTCCTGCCCTCGCCGCAGCGAGCTCATTAATATGCAGAACCACTCGGTGACTCACTGAGATTTCTCAACGAGGTGGGGGGAGGAGACCTTCCCCGCCCCGGGACCGTGATCACAGCGGCGCTCACTCGGAGCCACGCGCGCACAGGCACACTCACACCGGCTGCCCTCTCACTTCTACGCGAACGCTTGCACACCCGGACTCCAGCCCGCGCACACCGCCGGTGCCCGGGCTGTACCGGACGCTTGAGAGGCTGCTTAAGGGTACTGCTTTTCCGATTCGTGTGGTTCCCTCTGGCCAGACGGGCCGGCTGAGAGCCCCAGGCCCGCGGCCCAGATCTTCTGAGACTGAGAGGGTTTTGGAGCAGGTGCCAGGTGTGGGTGCCAGCAGGCCTGACTCCTAGGGCGTGAGTTGTCTTTGCTGGGCCAGCAGCCTTGGTGGCCAGAGCACGAGGCCAGGTCTGGAGGGAGGTTGCCATAGGTTGTACAGCAGCAAAGCCATTGCCTGTGGCCGCTGGGGCTTGCCTCCAAGGGTGTGTGTGAGGGAGATTTGGTCACTCTGACAGGAAGGCTTCCTAAAGTGGTGTGTGGCTGTGTGAGCTGCCTGTGCAGGCCGGCGGGGGGGGGGGGGGGTCGGGCAGAAGCCAGGGTTCCTCATTGTCATACCATTCTCTAAAGCCTCTGCCCAGTAGGGAGACATGGCAGTGGTAACCATCTGGACAAAGTCCATGTTCCCCACATATGCCAAGCTCTGTGGTGGAGTGGTGTGGGCCCAGGCATGGCAACAGAAATTCCTGCTCCATTACTTAGAAGTGCAAGTGACTTCACTACTTTAAGGCTTCATTTTGCCTGTCATCGGGTGGCTGTGAGAGCTGTGTAAGATCGGACTTATAAAGTGTTCAACAGAGTGCCTGTCCCATAGCTGGTGCCCAGGAAATGTTACTCATTGGTATCATTATAGGATGTATTTTAATATGTATTCTTTTGATTCTTATAAGTCCTTTTCTAAGTTGGTATTTTAATTCCTTATTTGATGGGCATGGAAACAGACTCAGAAGAAGAAATAACTTGGGTAAGATCATGTGGCCAGGAAGCAGGTGGCTAGGCCAGGAGGAGCCCTGGTATATGTGGCTGCCGCTCTGGGGCTCTAGTCTCTGGGCTGTCCTGCCTCCCTCAGGTACTTGGGGAAGTGCTTCCTTCTTAGACTCAGCGACAGGGGATGGAGTGTCTCAGGCTCCAAGGGTCCCTGGGCTTGGCTCCCAGGCCAGAGCTGAAGCCAGGGCAGAAGCTGCCAGTTTCTTCCAGCTCACACAGCTCTGTGCTGTCAGCTCACTAATTCTCTGGGGGTACAAATACCCAGAGAGGGGTCTGGGGGGATGGGGAGGGCAGGATGCTGGGGGCAGAGTAGGAAAATGTGTGCTGTCTCTTCCCAGTTTGAAACCTTGGCTGCCTTGAGAGGATGCTTGGCCATGAAGAGCCTGCCAGAGCTCGTGAGCTGGCTTCAGGCCATTTCCTAAGTCCTATGCATGCAGTTGTATCTATACTTAAAGCAAGGCCAACAGCTGGACATTTAGGTTTATGCAGAATATGAGGGCAAGGGAGGGATTTTTTGGGCATTAGCATTAATTTTTAAAATTTCTAATCTTTTGAAAATTTTTCTTAGTACAAAACCAAAACATTTGTTACAGAAAAATCAGAAAACACAAGCAGAAGAAAACATAAAACACACACACACACACACACACACACACAGTTCCACCCAGTCAGAGGTCTACAGTTGCCACAGTGTTATCTTTTCAAACCCTTTGTCTTTGCTTGCATCCATTTGCACCAATGTGATCAGTGTGTGTGTCCTATTTAATAACACGCTTGTTTTACCTATCACTCTATCAACATCCTCCCATGTGACTGGTTTTGCTTCTCCAGTCTCTTTTTAATAGCGTCGTATGAAGTCATAGAGCATCGTGCCTGAGAACTTGGTGTCTCCATGTCACACTGCCTGGGTGTGAATCCTGCTACTAGCTGTGTGACCTGGGGCAAATGATTTAACTCTTTTCATTATTGATTTTCTAATCTGTGAGGTGATGATGATAATGGTACTTACAGCTTAGGGAGAATTAAATGAGATGGTGTCTGTAAAGCTTTTAATGCAGTCCCTGTCACAGAGTAAGTGCTCAATAACTGTATTGTTTTAGTATTTTGGATGCAGCATATTCTACTGTACAGATGTGTCATAATTACTTTAAGTAATTACTCTCTGCTAGACATGTAGATTGTTTTCCACCATATTATCTCAGAAGCAGTGCTGTGTGACAGATATTCTTGTAGCTCAATTTTGGGGCCCTTTAAAAATTGATCATGTCTCAGAATCACTGGGCCATGGGTTATGTCCATTTTAAGGCTTTTAATACAAATTGTCCTTTAAAAAATATAATGCATTTTATTCTGCAAAAAGGATTTCTTATCTACTAAGCTTTCTCAAAACATGTGAAATAGATTTTTTTTTATTAACAGTGCTGATTAGTTAAGTAGGATCTAACAGCATCCGGGATCACGGGCACTGAGCTTTTATAGGAGAAAGTGGTTGGCCCTAAAAATACGGGCCAGTTTCCCAACTTCCAGGGTGAGACCAGAGGTCAGACAATCCAGTGTTTTGTCCTTAGTTGTATTTCTTAGTCTACATATGCTTATCTTTGGTTTGCAAAATACAGCCATGTGTCTTGTTTTTGTTTTTTTTTTACGATTTATTTATTTATTTGAGAGAGAGAGAGAGAGACAGCACGCGCGGGGGCGGGGAGAGGGAGAGAGAGTCTTAAGCAGACTCTCCACTGAGCATGGACCCCAATGTAGGGCTGGCTCTTAAGACCCTGAGATCACAACCTGAGCCAAAACCAAGAGTCGGATGCTTAACCGACTGTGCCACCCAGGTGCCCCAAAATACAGCCATGTGTTTCTGCAAGCAGAGCTCACTCCCGTTTGTGTGAGTTCTTTCAGGGTCACTGGTACAGGAGAGGATGGGGGCCTTCTGCTGCCAACCTGTCTGTGGGTGATGCCGCTCAACTGAGATAGAGGGGGTTTTGACCTTTGACTTGCCTTTAGGGTGCAGACTCTCTACTGAGCTCAAATGGGGGGTCTTTGAGCAGGTGGATGAGGCAGGGTGAGGTGGATATAGGGAGGCAGTTCTATGCACAGCAACACTGCCTGATTGAAGGGGATCCCTGGAGTGCAGTGAAGGACCACACACATATCCTGCCCTTTGGAGCACAGTCGTGTGTGTGTGTGTGTGTGTGTGTGTGTGTGTGTGTAGGTGATTATGCTGGCCTCTGTGGAAGGGGTACATGCAAGGTGTGGGGGGCACAGAGGTGGGAGGAAATATAAGCAGAAAATCATTCCTCAAGGGAGTGGAAAAATTGGCTGAGATCCTAGGAATTTGCATATTTATTCTGTTCACAGTGATTGAGTACCCACAGTGTGCCAGTCTCGTGCAAGGTGCTGGGGATATAAGGTGAGCAGAGGAGGGGTGTACCTGTTCCCAAGGAGTTCAGAGTCTAGTGGGGAAGACAGACATTAATCAGACAACCAGAAATGCACATGAAATTACTGCAGAGCTAGATGTGATGAAGGGAAGCTAATGCTATGGGGCTCATCAGGGGATCTGAGCAGGTTGGGGGGTGGGGGTAGCTTCCCAGAGAAAATGCCCACTGGACTGCAGTCTGAAGGATGAGAAGGTGTTAACCAGGTGACAATGGGGAGGAGACCACTCCCGCCCCCTTATTGTCTCTGCTCCTCACACAGTGATCTCCTGGGGTTAACCCCCTGCTCAATGCCTTGCTGGCTCCTGATCTCACTCAGAGTCAAAGCCAGTCGCCTCGTGACCAGCATCCACCTTTCTCCCTGTGGCCATGCTCCACCAGAGTGCCTTGTCCTCTCCTTCAGACATGCTGAGCCTGTCCCTCTCTCTGGATCTTTGTCCTTGCGGGACCCTCTGCCCACACCACTGCTCTCCAGGTGTTAGCAGGTGGCCCTCTTCTCCCAAATAGTCACTCTTGAGACCCAGTCACACTGTCACTCTCCTCCTCCCTGTGCCTGCAGTCACTCTCTGTGCTGTTGACCTATTTTACTTCTTACATTGTGTGTGCAGCAACCTCACATGGTACCATGTTCCTGTTTATTTGGGAGTGTATTGTGGGTCATCCTTTGGTCTGTTGGTTCTGTGAAGGTAGAGTCTGTGTCTTCCTTACTCATCCTCAACCTACTGCAGTGCTTGGCCACATCTTTGAATAAATAAAAGTGCGTTTCAGGCAAAAGCCCAGGGGTGTGTTAGAGAATTGCTGAATCCAGGCTGTGTAGACTACATGGTCAGGTGAGAGAGGGAGCGGGTAGGGGAGAGGGGAGAGAGTGTGTGCGTGAGTACATGCGTGCACGTAGGGGGTGGATAAGGGTGGCCATTGGCAAGACCATGTTCCCAGAAACGCCAGTTCTTCTCAGCACATTTGCTTCAGAAAAGTGTTTGCTGGGAGGAGGAGGAGAAGGTGAATGAGCAGGAGTGTGGTTTTCCCAGGAAACCCTGCAGGTATCTGGGCGCCACCCCATAGGTCTCCTGAGCAGGTGGATGTTGACTGGTCAAGGCTGGATTCCTGCCCAGGGAGCCCAGGGAGCCGAGAGACAACACTTCCCCATGGTGGAGGTCCATGTACCTTTCGCCCAGTGTCACCCACAACCTGTGGGGCCCTGGGCAGCCAGTTGCCTCCTCTTTGCTGGCTTTCCTTTCGCACAGCTCTGCATACTGACCCCCTCGCCAGGGCCCTGCTCTGAGGGAGAGAGGGATGCAGATTGAGGTTTCCTGAGGACAACTCTTGGTTTTGTTCTTTATACTTGGAATGTTTAGAGAGCCTGAGAAACTAAGCGTAGAGGAAATGGTGCAGGGGGTAGGTAGGCAGTGTTGGATTAGCCTTCAGGCAGCCTTGTAGAGCAGAGGGGCTCTGCCACTCAGGTGGGTACCCGAGAATGCTGTGTGTTGCACCAAACATGCGACAGGATGCTTGCAGCAAACGTGACACACCCACCGTTAGCATTTATCTTGCCATTTGTTTATTCAACACCACCTCACTGCAGACAAGCATCTTTACCATATCAAGAACACAAGCAAAGATATTTTCAAAGGGGGCCCTAACAAATAAATGAGCAAAGGACATCAAAGGGCAATTCAGGGGGAACACAGAAAGAAAAGCAATTATTAACCAACTCATGAAAGAATGTGCATCCTCATTAGCAGCCAAGGAAAACCACATTAATGCTGCAGTATCATGCCATTTTGGTTTGGGTCCTACTTGATAATGAATATTTATTTTAAAGAGTAACATCCAAAGCGGACAGTGGTAAAGGGCGGAAGCATCACTGGTGGAACTATAAATTGGTACAAGATTTTGGGATGTTATATTTATAGTATGTACCCAGATGGTTTGAAATAAACTATTTCACCCCATTAACACACCTCAGATCTATTTAAACAGTTGATAAGGGGGAAATGTCACATGCAAATAAGGAGTTAACCTGAATGCCCAGCAGTGGGATGTTGGTTAAGTAAACAGTGAGAGTTCTGAATGAAATATTATACTGGTATGAAGACTCCTGATTACAGAATCTGTGGAATTTCATGGAGTAAATGCTTATGCAGCGAGGACAGACAACACAAGGTCGTGTAAACACCATGATTGCAAGTATGTAAGA